ATTTCCGAACAGGGTCATTCACATGCCTTTCCAGCAGTATTTTCTTAGAAGTTGGAAGGCTTGGGTGGGGTGAGTGTGGATGAGTGACAATAAGTCTCAGGACATGAAGGGGTGCTCATGCGCACGTGCACCCACCCGTTCCCATTCACATTACCCATTTCACATTGTGCTAGGAAAATGAGGGATGCTAAATGCTTCATGACTTTGGTTCCTGACAAAGACATGGCTAACATGGAAAATTGTTGAATTTTTTCCCCTTTCTTAGAAAAAAACATTCCTTTAGCCATCTGTATTTCCATCAATCCCATTCTGCATAGGGAAAAATATGTATGATTTTTTAAAATTCTAGTTTTAATGAATACCACAAAAAGAATATATTCATGTACAAAGAATAGAAGAATATTGTGTGAAAATGTGAATCTCTATTAGTATAGCTTGCTTTTTTAACAAGTACGTAATACATATTACTCTCAAAGCTGTCATTCTTGTCTGTTTCCTTCTGAACTTCTTTCAATTCTCTTCTGTGAATTTAAAAAAAATTGCTTCAATGCCTCTTTCTTTCTTTTTTTAGTGCCCTGATCACTCATGCCCCCATATAAAAAGAAAACCATAATCTTTTTAGCAAATAAGCAGGGCCAAACAACAAATCTACATATTTACTATGTCCAAAATGTATGTTTCAATGTGTACCTTGAGTCTATCACCCCTCTATTAGGAAGTGTGTGCCAGGATTCTTCGTCAGCCTTCTGGAGTAATGGTTGGTCATGGCCTTCATCAGTGTCCTTAAGTCTTTCATTTTATGTATTGTTTTCTTGGCTTTGCTTACACTTGTATTAGTAAATATAAGTCTTTGCATATTTCTCTCTATTCATCCTATTTGTCATTTCTTAATATTGCATTGCATTCTTTCTTAGGTCTTTCTCAATTGTTTTTACTTAGAATGATATATAACATGATATGTAATTGTTATGGTTCTATTTGCGTTATTCTGCATCAGTTCATACACATCTTCCCAGATTCTGCCAAAACCATCTTTTTTTGTAATTTCTAATGTCATTATAACATTCTGTTATATTCACGTGCCAAAGTGTGTTCAGCCAATCTCCAACTGATAGATAATTCTTTTGATTCCAATTCTTTGTTGTAACAAAAGTACTGCTATAAACATTTTGCACATATGGGTCTTTCCTCTCTCTCTTTTAAAAAACTCTTTGGGGTATTGTGTATATATACATACACACATATATACATATATATTTCAAATCTATTTTATCCAAGACCTCACAGCAAAAGCCTGAGAAGGCCTCTTCACTTATCCTTTCTTGGTTCTAGTCCCAGTTAGGGAATAGACCTGGTTTTGTAAGTGTTGACACCCACCTACAGGTTGCAGTTATCCAGCCGCCTTCCAAAGATTGCTGTCTGGGGGGCACAAGTGCATGGAAGAGGATTCTTGATCCATGAAGGAACATAGCCTAGAAAGTCTTCCATACCTAGACTTTCTGGGATCTTGGTACAAACCACCATCTGTAGCCAGGAAGCTCTCAGTCACCAATTCCTCTTTCTTATACCTAACCCCTACCTACCACCTCATCCTCCTCCTAATCTGCCCACATTCATCTGTGGCCAGGGTCTCTTCCTCTTCTCCCACTCACTTTCATCTCTTCTTCATCTTCTCTACCCTCCTGTATCTGTGGCCAGAGCCTCTTCAACTTTTTCCTCCCTCTACTCCACTCATCTGTGGCTAAGACTGCTGAAGCTACCTCTTCTTCCTTTTCCCTCCCCACTTTCATTTGACTTTGGGCAAATCACTTAATATCTTTAGGTCTTAGTTTCCTCCTCTATAAAATAAAGGGGTTGGATTAGATGACATCAGGATTCCCTTTTAGCTCTAGGTGTGTGTGCTTCTGATTCTCCTTTCCCCACAAACTCATCTGTGGTCATGGCCAGTTCTTCTCCCACATCCCTAACACACTGCACTAACCCATGTTCAGGCCTTTTCTGGATCCCATTTCCAACGCCTGTTCAACAGGACAAAGTTGGGAACATTCCCCATCTTTGAAGGAGAAGATATAGAGAGCAAGAATCCAGGACTGATAAGGAACAAATGAAAACTCTGGGATTGTCCAGTTTGAATAAGGAAATGTCTCACAGAAACAGTACCTATTTTCACAAAGGAAGCCCTGGTCCTTGAAGGATGGTGAGAACTACTTTGTTCCCATTGAGATTATCACAGAAATGATATTCTAAGTGATTCAAGTCAAACACAAGCAAATAACCCATAACACCCAGGGATATTGCAAGTAGAAATAAAACAGTTACTACTAACCAGAGACCCCTTCCTCAACCAGATCCTTCACAGTTTCTCAGGAGAATAGATTGATTTTAAAGGTCAACTTCACTGCTTCCTTTTATGGTCAGCATCCCAGACCCAGAGGAGAGTTGTTCAGGACCAGGGACAGAACCTTCTGGTCAGAAGCAGACCATGAAGGAATGCATTTAGAATCAGTCCTATAGGCTTAATTCTTCAGTGTTCTGTCCTTGTTCCGTTTATTTTTCTATCCCCAAGAATAAGGTGGGGGAAGAGTTGAGGGGAAAGTAAGAGAAATGGAGAGAGGAAGAGATGGGAGATGATAATACTAACAGCCTGGAAACTTTTCTGAGGGGCCTGACTTTGTGCAAGTTGGCTTTGTCTGAGTCATCACCCAAGCCGCAATCCTTTACCAACAGTGCTAAGCCTTGTGCAGGTATTGAACTGTATTATGTTGAAGGTGTTCTTTTGACACCTACTTCACCTTCCACACTTGGATTTCATATAGAATGATGCCCATCCTGTGGATTTTTGGAAAGCTTCAATAGATTTGATGCCTCTTAGTTCAAACCTTTATGGGGGCAATGTGAGAGGGATCTTAGATGTCATCTAATCATGGATCTGGACTCTTCCTACCTTTCTTGTCTTCTGACTACTCTTTTCCACACATGCTGCAATCCAGCTATGCTGGTATACTTGCTGTTCCTCAAACATGACACTTCATCTCCTGTCTCAGTGCCTTTTCATTGGCTGTCCCTTATTCCTAGGATGCTCCCCTTCCTCACTTCTGCCTCTTGGGTTCCTTTAAGACTCAGATTAACTTCTACCTTCTGAAAGGTCCCCCTAGCTATTAATGCCTTCCCCTCTCAGATTCCCTTTCACCTATGCTATATGTATATTGTCTCTTCCATCAGAAGGTAAACTTCTTGAAGGCAGGGACTGTTTTTGCCTTTCTTTCTATATTCAATTCTAAGTGCAGTGCCTGTCACATAGTCCTTAATAAATGCTTGTTGACCGACGTTGTACAGATAAGGAAACTGAGGCCCAGAATGGTCAATGATTTGCCCAGGGTCTTATAGGTAGCAAGTGACAATTAGGATTCAAACTCAGATCTGCCTCCGAATCTAGCATGCTTTCTATTGTACTGGACTGACATCTTTTACATAGAGAGCAGGAAGGTTATACTGTCTCTTTGGAATAGTCATTCTGGGTTGGGAATGGCAGAAGCTTCCTTAGTCAAGCACTTTCACAAAAAGAGGTTCTGTCCTTGAGAAGGAAAAAGTGTCCAGGGGGTAACAAGTCTTAAATGTAAAATTAGAACAATTTATCTTAATTAAAGCCTTCACAGAGTGGACTCCCTAGTCAGTTTTACTTTTCCTCCGATTTATTCTCAGATAACTTCTCATCTCTCTCACCATGACCACTAGTCCTTTAGCACATCTCTGCTCTCTCAGTCTACCTCTACTCTCATGGTCTGTAGTAGTTAAATGTAAGGAACTCACAGCTGCACTGAGTCAGATATAAAGCAGTCCTATGTCACAACAGTTTGGCTGCAAGATGTCACTGGTATTACCTGATAGCTCAACTAGGAGATGGAGGATGACTTGGAATCCCTGACTCCAAGCCCTCCTTCACATTTAGGGTCATGATTGTGTTTCCCTGGTGTGGGAGATCCTTTGAAGAGGGCAGAAGCATCTTCTTCTTCTTCTTCTTTTTTTTTTAACAAAGGGGACATTGTAGACAGAACTCCAGCCAGCCCAGAAAAGCCAGCTCCAAATGTAGCATAGAAATTGTCTTCTGCTTTTTTTTTTTTTTGGGCAATTGGGGTTAAGTGACTTGCCCAGGGTCACACAGCTAGTAAGTGTTGAGCATTTGGTCTGAGGTCAGATTTGAACTCAGGTCCTCTTGACTTTAGGGCCGGTGCTCTATCCACTATGCCACCTAGCTGCCCCTTCAGCTTTCTTTAAGAGCAGATATCTACCACTGAATTCCTTTACAGACTTTGAGGTAAAAGAGGCAGGCTGACTCATGGTGTAGCGGAAAGAGACCTGGATTTGGAAGGGGAAAACTTGGCTTTGGATCCTAGTCTGCTACTTAACTACTTGGCTGACTTCAAGAAAGTCGACCACCAACTCTGGGCCTCAGTTTCCTCATCTGTAAAATGGAAAGTTTCAAACTAGGTGATCTCTCAGGTCCTTTTAATGTCTAAATTCTATGATTCTATGTACCAGTTTGCTGGATAGTGCTTTTTTACATCAAACATCAGCCATGGTATTTGACTACATGACCTCCAAGGTTCCTCCCAGTTCTTTGAGCTCCTCCCATTCATCTTGCCAGATCCAATCAGGGCAGAAAAACTCTGCCTACCTGAGGCATCAGGTAAGTCCCAGTGTGCTCTCGCCTCTTTTTGAGGAGGGGGATGAGGGAGGAGGAGAAGAGGAGGCTTGGGGGTGGAGAGGGATGCTTTCTTTCTTCTACAAAGGCTCCTGAGTGGGGCGGGGTTGCTGGGGCAGCGCCCACCAGGTGAAGCAGGTGAGCCAGACAAAGGGACCCGGATGGCAAGAACCGCGCCCCATACCCCCCCTTCCCTTTAGACTGGTTTGGGGGCGGAGCTGGGCGGGGATGCCTGGGTTCCTCCGGCAACAACCCCAGCCCAACTAACAGCCAGGCCAGGAAGGACGCTGGGTTGGCTGTGGTTGCTTTATATTTTCAGACGGCTGTCTCAGACTCTAAGGGGAACCCCCAGATGGCTTCGCCGGCTGCTTCCCCCCAATCAGATCTTTTGACTGGTGAGTGACTTGGACCTAGGCACTTGGTGGTGGATGAGGAAATGGTTGGAGATGGGACAGAGCAGGACTAGGAAGAGGACTTTTCCAGAACATAGGTGATAGATCATGTCAGAACCTTTCCAAAAGCTGCAGAAACTCAAGCAGTGCTTGTCTTCTCCCCCTCCTTCACCCCCACCCCACTGCACAGGGCCTCTTCAGAGGTCATCATCACCTTGCCTGTTGGAAGAGTCCTCTACCAGGAGCAAAGTCTCCTCCTCTCTTTCATAGTAACCAGCACTGGAACTGCCGACCAGGAAGTCAAAGAACAAAGTGAAGCGGGGGAGAGGGTTTTTTTTTTTTTTTCAGAGAAGGACCAGTTCTTTGGGAATGGGGAGAGGGATTTATGTGGGAGTCTCAATACGAAGCCCTCTTTCTCACAAACCAAAGAGAAATCCTTTTCACTCCTACCCCCCTCCCCCATCAGCATTTCCATTCAAAAACAAGCATTACAATCCTTGCAGGAGATTAAGGTGGCAAACAGCTTACACTTTGCGAAGGAACATACAACATGCACCCAAATAACTGTGGATACAAAGTAGAACGTGATAGAGGCAAAGGAGAGGCTCAGATGAAGCACGCTAGGAAAATTTGAGGAAAGAGAGCTCATTTCAGTTAGGGAGGATTCCTCACTCTCATTTCAAGAAATCTTCCTGGAGGAGGTGGCAATTGAGCTAAGCCTAGAGGGGTGGAGCTAGGTGGGTAGAGATAGACAAAGAATTTGTCCCAGGTAGGAACAACCTATGGGAATTTGGTTTTTCTTAAGAGCCAGACAGAAGGAAGTTGCTAAAGGAAAACTAGATTTTCCCTCCCAGTCCTATAGGAGATGAGGAAGAGTTTTTGAAGCCCTCTATCCAGGGCATGTTGCAGACTTGATTGTTCAGTTTTCAGTGTGAGAATTTACACCTTAAAAATCAGGAAACACTACAAATCAGGACTTGATTTCTTGTTTTGTTGATTTTCTAGACTTATGAAAGCGATGGAGAAGATTAATAATGTAGATTAAACTTAAAAGTGTGTCTTTTTTTGGGTAGGGAGAGCCCAGCTAATTGTTAAACATTTACCAGCATATCCCTACTTGTACCGCACCCCTATACTATGCACTCAACTGAAAGGGTCCAGAGGGCAAGGAGTGGTATTTATGCGTTTCTTATCCCTTACCCCAATATTATTCTGGGTTGAAACCTTGTAAGGCAGCCTAATCTTACCCTGATCTGATGGGGCTTCTTCAGGCTCCTTGGTCAAGCAGGAGATGTTGGCCACTAATAAGCCAACAAGGACTCTCAGACTCTAGGAAGAATTCTCTATAGATGAAGCTTGTCAGGCAGGTAACACTTTGCCCCCACATGGCTCATGGTCACTTGCTCTGTGACCTTGGGCAAATCACTTAACCACGGAAGGATACAATTGTTTCATCTGTAAAATGAGAGCACTAGGCCAGATGATCTCCAAAGACCCCTTCCCATTCCAAATCTTACAACTAATTCCATCCCAAATATGGGTCTTGTATTGTTTTCCAAGGGAGAAAATGAACATTTGCCATTAAACCAAACAACAAATCTGCAGAAAGCAATACTTATTTAGTTTATATTAGACACTAACATTTCAAGATTTTGTATTCTAACGATGTACCACATGCTGGAGAGTATGTCTGAGCCCTTAACAAGTCTTTAAATTTTTTAGACAGAGTCAAGAATTCATTTGATCATGTTTATCAGGGGTAGCTAGCGCCTTATTTTGAGACAGTACCTACAGAAAGCTAACATAGGCCATTTTGTAGTTTTCTAATTTTTAAATTCAGATCCCTGGATCTTAGAATTGAAATGGACCTTAGAAGCTAATTCCACTTTGCTTCCAATGCAGAAAGGTTAGATACCTCTGCTGGAACATCTAATCCCACTTTGACTTCCCATAAGAACTATTGTTGTTGATTAGTTAGCCCTCCAGTTGGCTAGGTGTCCTACCCCATGTCCTATACAGTAGGCTAAGCAGGATGCATCCTGAATGAAGTTGTTTTTCTGGTAGGTCTGAAAATAAGGGGTATCTATCTGGTCAGAAGAGATTATTCCAGGCATGAATGGCAGGAGGTGTGTGTGTGGGGGGGGAGGGAATGAAGAAAATACATGGATCACTCCAACTTCTGTTCTTTGAATTTGGAGTTCAGAGGCAGGCTCTATTCCTTGACATGAGAATTTGTTTTGATACAGTACTTCATTCACATGCTTTTGGGGGTCCGGCGGTGGAGTAAAGGGAAGCACTCCTTGGAAAGACCTGGAAATGTTAGGACGAAAACTTGGAGCTATCCAGTAGCCTGCTCAGAATACCATGCTCACAGAAAACATTCAAGAATCTTATCAGGATGTCAGGTTCTTGGTTGATTTATAGAGAGATTTTTTTTTTCAGTCAGGGCATAAGGGTTGGATATAGCCAGAGTAGCTTATGACTTCATTTGCTAAACATTTGGAGTGTCTCATTTAGCAGTAATCCTTATGTTTACTTGACTCTTTCCTCTAGGAGTCCAAAGTCATTTGCAGACGTCATTTATCTCTGTCTTATATCACCCCTTAAGTTCAACCATCTGTTTTTTTCCCTCTAACCTCTTCCTTTATGATATCTTCCCAAATTACTTGATTATTGAATAATATTATTCTAACATTTTGCATTTGCCTTCTGCTTTGCTCCATTTGAGTTTCTTTGAATTTTGATCAGCATCTTTGTGTCAGTTGTTGAGTCATGGAAACACTTGATGGATACACTTGTGGAAAAAAGTCTCACATAGAAAAAAATCAGATCCAGCTAAAAAGAAAGTTCAAAGAAAGGAGGCACTGATTTGTGTTTTTTAAAAGGTAAAAACTCCACAAGAGGTATTTAGCAGCCCAGGAATTCCTCAGAAGCTACACAATTCATTCCAAAAACACAACTCAATGTGCCCAAGGGGAGACTTGGCTTTGAGGTACATGGGCATTAGATGTGCTCTGGAATTCTCAGCATCTGCATGTCATTTCCCCAGATGTGGCCTTGGCTTGGGCCAGCCTTCAAAGAGCCAAGCACGTGGTAAGTTGTTCTGTTTGATCCATTTTGCAATTAGATCTCTCTCCTGGGGTCTTTCTCTGGCATGGAGGCTTAGGGGCTTTGCTTGGCTGGTTTGCGCTGAAGTAGCTAATCACAGAATCAGGCCAATTTGGATCTTTCCCAGATTGGGGGATGTTGATTGGCCCGGGGCTTTGAGGCTCAGCAGCCCTTGGGGAGGTGGCTGGGGAGGCAGTTGTTTGATGCTACAGTGACCTTGGAGCTCTCTGTTATAAGCTTCAGCTGCTTAGTGATAAGTCCTTTGTAGGCAATTACCAAGCACGTGGGTGAGTACGAATAATGGGAAAGCAGTGGGGTCTGTCTTATCTTCACAGCCGGCTGAATACTTTCCAAGACAGTGGGCATGTCCCAGCTTGCAAACTGTTTGCCTTTCTCCTCTGAGAGGCGGTGAGAAATAAATAGTAGCATTAATTAGAGCCAGGCTGTGTGCTAGTCTAGAAAAACAAGCAACCGCCGCCTACTCAACTCTGCCATGGAAGCAGCTGGTAAAATGGGGCATATGTCCTTCCAGAGAGTAAATGTGCTTTTTAACAGCTACAGCGGATGGAGAGTGAACTGGACACATGCAGCTGGCACAGGCTCAGCAGTCAGAGTTGCAGATCACTTGATGGTGGGCAAGAGAAGCTGGTTTCTTGGTGAGTGGAGATGGGCAAGGGCTGGACCATGGGCTATGTTTATCGAAGAAGGAGGAAATGCAATGCCATTGGCCTGAAGGATCCCTTTATAATATCTAGGGCTTTGGTGAGACCCATCAGGATGGAAGGACTGGCATTTCAGGATCCTATAGAACTGATCTTGGTGGGAAAGAGAGTAATAATAATAGTAAGCTTTTATATAGAACGTTGAGGTTTGCAAAGCACTTTATGTTTTCTCATTTGATCCTTACCACTACGTTGCCATTGTAATAGTGAAGTAGATGTTATCATTCCCATTTTACAGATGAGGAAACTGAGGCAAAGAGATTAAGTGACAGAGCCAATTGTAACAGAATTTGAACTCAAAGCTACCTGATTCCCAGTCTAATATTTTACACACTGTGCCACCTTAGATGCCTCTACAGTAGGGGAAGAGGTGTAACTATTTCTGTTTTCATTCTAACCCCAATTCATCCCTGCTAAGAAACCAAGCCCCTAGAACAGGTCCTAAACCCTTTATGCTGACTAAGGAAGCAAGTTTTTATCTAAACCCAAAGCCTAGTGAAGTAGCATTCTTACTCCCAAAATACTGGACACCAAATTGCAAAGTCTGGTGTAAGACATATTTTTTCTCTCTTGTGGACTCTCCATCTCCCCAGCCAGCCATACAGGGTTCTGATTAGTTGATGCTTGATTAACTCTAGCTTTTGCTGGTCTAAAGTTAAGTCTCCTGCTGACCTTCCAAAATCATGATGGATAGAACTTAGAGCTGGGAAGGGTTTTAGAAATCCTATCATCCAAACTTTGAATTTTGATGGGAAACTGAGGCCCAGAGGGATTGTGATTTGCCTGAGTAGTATAACAACCAGGATTCAAACTATGGCCATCTCCCAGTCTAGTGCTTTTTCTATGTCCTACTGCCTCTCAAAAGGCTAGGCCAAATTACCCAGATTCAGTTATTGAAGCACAGGATTAATGAGGTCAAGTTTTTATTCCCCATAGGGAAAAGTGGGCTTCTCACATAGAAACTGTTCCATAGCTCCAGCACAGATACTTTTCATCCCTGTTGGCCTTATCACCTACAACTGGACATACTGTAACCAAGATCAGGTGAGGCATGAAGGATGACTCTCCAATACACATTTCCACTGCTAGAGATTCATTCACATGGTGGATCAGGGATGTCTTGATAACATACTATGATAGAATGTTAGGTCTGGAAGTCTCCTTAGAGAGAATACAGGGGCTCTTAACCTTTCTTTGGCAGACACCATCTCAGAATGCTTTGTTACCTTCATAATGGAAGGCTATGCTAAATTCCAGTTAGTGGTCAGCAAAAATAAAGATGGAATTTTTTTTTTCCCTTATCCAAGGTCATGGGAACCTCTGAAATCTATCCATGGTGCATGGGTATTAGATTAATAATCCCTGATGTAGTCTAATTTCCTTATTTGAAAGATACAAAAACTGGGAAGCCAGAGAAGGGAAAAATGATTTGCCCTAGACTTCATGGTAGAACAAAGGATAGTCAGGTCTCCTGACTCTCAGTCCAGTATTCTTTCTAACAAGCTGCCTTGGGAATCTGAATTGTTTCTTAGGCAAAGAAAAGCCATTTGTGGCTAAGGCATGATTTCAACAGAGGAGACAATGCCTAACTTCGGGAGCTGATGTTTTGACTCAGGCCTAGTTGCCTTGTTCTAAAGTAAAGGTGAATCCTGACTCCTTGCAGCAAACAAGATGACGGGAGCCTTGGGTTTTCTGTTTGTTTTGTTTTTGTTTTTTGTTTCTTTGGCTGAGTTGGCTACTACCTAACCTTAGGCCAGCAAAGCGGCACAGCGTTCATGCAAATCTGCAGACACAGTAGTTTGTACCTTGGAGCTGGCTGGGAGAAGAGTGGAGAGGAGGTGGTTAGGAACTTCTCCCACTTTGATATAACTCACACGACAATGATGCTGTTTATTTGGTTTTATTTTCACATTCACTATGTATTTGTTTTCATAATTTTGCTTTTATTGGCAGTAAAGTGTTTAAAGTGACTGCTCTGTTATATTTATTGATGCTGTTTCTTCCTGAAGAGGCTGTAATCTGCAGCTGTCTGGTGGAGACAGCCTAATATCTGGGCCATTTTTCTGTTAATGGAGAAAAAAGAGCACTATAGTTGCCATCTATTACAGGTGAATTGATGCTGGACTTCTCCTATCATTCCTGTGTATACAGACACTCCTCCCCCCATGCCATTATACACACACACACACATACACACACACCCAGAGATGCATACACACACATATACATGCATGCATCCTTTCTTTATGAGATCACACACAGTGAAAATGTGGTGAAAACTTAGCCTAGTTTTGCTTAGTTTGGGAGTTTTGTGATTTGGGGGAGGGATAAGGCCTTAGGATATATCCTCCACCAAAAGGTTTTGGCTGTCAAAGAGCTTATTTGCATGTTGGGAATTTCCCTTGGGCATGCAAAGTGAATGGTGGGAATAACAATGACAGAGGGAAACCATATTTGGATTACCTGGGATTGGTTTTTGGATTCTGAGTGTTTGGATTCTGCTTTCATGATTTTTTCTCTGATGAGAGTGTGGGGGAGGTTGAAAATATTTCTTTCTTCTGGGCTAGTTGTTGCACTGTCTCCCCAACTCAGGATCCTGTCTCTGATGGGGGCTTGAGGAAAGCTATTCTCACTCCCTCATGTTACGTTTCAAATTAGGGATATTCCCAATCATGCACAGGTTTTCCTTAATGACCTGCTAGAGATCTGTCATTCAGGGATTTATCCCAACCCTTTGGAGTCTTTATACTTTTAGACTGTTTCCCATCTCCTGAGGGAATGATTTTAATAAATGTATTCTCTAATGAATGGTCTGTGGCCTTAAACACCTTTTTCAAGCTTCAACCTCTGCCTATTGCCCAAATCAGCTCTGAAGTTTTAGTCTATGTCATTTAAAAACAAAATCCCCAAGAAGGTTTTGATTAAACCTAACCTAGTGACATCCCAGACAGTACAAGAGATCAAAGTATCATTCCTTTGTGGTACTGAAGAAGCCAGGGGGTCTTTAGGATGTGGTAGAGCTAGACAGCAGCATGGAGGCTGGAATCTTTCCCATCAAGGTAATATATCTATTTTGGAACCTACTAGCGAGTCCTAGGGATGACCTGCATATTAGGAAACAGCCTGACCTTGGAAGGTATGTGGCACTCCCCAATAGTAAGCTTCCAACCTGATGGAGAGCAGAGCATTCTCAGAGGCAATATGCCTTCTCACTGAGATCTCCTTGCTTGTCTTTGAAGCTGGGACTATTAGTCTTTGAGCAGCAGCCTGGTATGGTGGGAAGACTATTGTACTTGGGGGAGGGGGTCAGAAGACCTGGGTTTGGGTTGTGCCACTTTATTGTGTCACCTTGAGTAACTCAAATGTATGAATGAATGGGGGAGGGAGCATTTATTAAGTGCTTACTATGTGCACCAGCACTTTGGTAAATGCTGGGGGTACAAACAGAAAAAGCAAGATAGTTCTCTTTCAAGGAGCTCCTATTTACAGAGAAGATTTTAGTTGCAAGTCTGATGGAAAAGGTGGTCATGGGTCTTTAATGTGGCATTCCGTTAATACAACTATCTCCACTTCTGATGTTGAGCCATTTGACAGTCTCAAAGATTTTGGTGGTGGGAACTTCACTTTTCTAGGTCTCAGTTTCCTCATCTACAAAATGAGGATAAGCCTCACTGTCATGGGAATAAGAATTATGTGGCATAGGAAGATGTGGCAGCCTCAGATTCTTGAAGGTGGGTTCAAGTCTCTCCCCCCCCATGCCAGGCATTTAAGCTCTTCATACCCCTGTGCAACTTTATTAAAACTGTTTAAATAGTAGAACAGTTGCTAATCTGCATTGGTAGGAGGCATTCCCAGAAGCTTTCCACACAAAAAAGGAAGCACGCATCTAAGAAAATCACTGTCCTGCTTGACTTCACAGAGTTTTCCAAGAATCAAATGAGAAAAGTATATGTATATGTAATACATGTATAATATATTATAACGTAATATGTATTATATATTGTTATATATAAATAATATATCACAACCTAATATGTAATATATAAAAGCTCTTTTAAAAATGAGAAATATTATACAGATATAAAGTGATTGTGAAGAAATCTTGTGGGGAAAGGGTGGTCTGCTCCTAGGAGAGGACATATCTGAATTTTCCTCATTACTCTTTCAGCCCACCCCTCCCCTACTCTTTTGCTGTCCCCTTCTTGTGAACTATTGAATGCAGAAGTGATAACCCAGGCATAATGAGTTAAATGGCCAATTTTGAACCCAGCTGGCCATGACTTCTGTGTCTTCTGAGAGCCCCTATAAATAATGTCAGGTAATTTAGTGTTATTGGCCAAAGGTGTTCATTGTATTTGAATCCAAAATTTGTACTCCTTACTTCTCTGTTTCTATGCATTTGTGAGATGGTTTTATTCGCTCTCTCATTCTAGTTTCTTTTTGGAAGTCCAATGTTGTATTAGAGAGACTATGTAGTGAAATGGATAGAATGCTGGGCCTGGAGTCAGGAAGACTCCTCTTCCTGAGTTCAAATTCAGCTGCAGACACTTACTAGCTGTGTGACCCTGGGCAAGTCACTTGATACTGTTTGCCTCAGTTTCTCACCTGTAAAATGAGCTGGAGAAGGAAATGGCAAACCACTCCAGTATCTTTGCCAAGAAAACCCCAAATGAGGTCTCAAAGAGTTGAACATGACTGAACAATAAATGTTGTTTTTACCATTTAAAGGATTTTATTCTCTTTGTCTCCTCCCCCAATTAATCATTGGATCATTTTGCTGCAGAATGACTTTTCTAGCAGTCTCCTTCTCTCTCCTCCCTGCCCCCTATAATAAATAAGCTTCTTCAAGGGAATTCCCAACTGTGTAATGGGAAAATCTTGCTAAGCATTATTAAAAGAGGGAACCCCACCCCCCCCCGCCAACACACACCAGTCTGAGGCATAAGCGAGAAAAGGGACGGCCTGTTTGTCTAAAACAGGATGGGATAGAAAAAACATGTCTGTACCCAAGGGTTGGTAGAGGAGTAAATGTAGAAGAATATAGTCTTAGAAACTAGGAAAAAGGGAGGAAATATAAGATCACAGACTGATTCGAGATGATGTCCAACTCTCATTTTATAGATAGGGAAACTGAGACCCAAAGAGAGAACGTAACCTGTTCGATTAAGGTCATTGGGTTACTGACGTGAGTTGAGGTTAGAACTTACAGCCCTGAACTCCTAATTGCCTTTGCAAATAATGCTAGGCCAAAGTTTGGAGGCCTCTGACAATTAGGACCTGCTGAATTTTCTAGAAAGAGTTTAAACAGACCTGTTAGTGTCTCTAGTTACAGAGCCAGAGAGCTAATTCACTTCTTCACCTTTGTCCTGTCTGAGGATTTCAGGTCTGTCAATAGGAATGATTGAAATTGAGGACAGTGTAGGAACTAGCTGTTCTGTTGATCTGTGTGCTATTTGGCCTTTGGAAGGTGGTAGTATGAGTTGCTATAAGTAAGGATCCTATAGACCCAACTTTTCCTAAAGCTCTGAGGCTTATGAACTCAAGTATTAAAGTGAGAGCTTCACTGACCTGAAGGTCACAGGTTAACGTTGCTCAATTGTATGGTCACAGACTTGTCCCTCTAATTCTGGTCATCTGTCTCAAAAAAGTGTGCCTTTAGTCAGAAGGGATCTGGGCAAGAGAGAGGGGAGGGGGATGGTTCAGAGAGGTCTATCTCCACTATTAGAACCCAATGATGATAGTGGGTCAGGGAGTATGCTCATATCTTATGGTTATGTTGTCATAGTGTTCTCTTAGAATTTTCCCTCTTGGAGTAGATCGTTAGAATTTAGAACTTTTTGCCAGCTTTGGGCTTGGCAGGCCCAATCTGCCTATGTGGTTTCATGGTGTCATGCTGGGCAGTAGAACCGATTTTCTATAAGGACGGAGACCTAGCTTGTGTCTGGATCAGCAGCTGAATACTGGATTGTAAACACACATGTAGTGGTCCCCCAGGAGTGCTTTTACATCCTCTGCAATAGGGAGTTTTACTTCGGATTTAACCTTCTGCTTTGCCCTGGGACATTAGGCCCGATAACTTTCCATCATGGGAATTTCCCCTAAATACCTGTTGTTCTTCAGTTGTGTCCAACTCTTTGTGACCCTATTTGGGGTCTTCTTGGCAAAGATAATGGAGTGGCTTGTCATTTCTTTCTCCAGCTCGTTTTATAGATGAGAAACTGAGACAAACAGAGTAAAGTGACTTGGCCAGGATAATACGGCTAGGAAGTGTCCGAGGCCAGATTTGTACTCAGGAAGATGAGTTATTCGGACACCAGGTCTGACACTCTATCCACTGTACCACCTAGCTGCCCTAACTACTTGTTGGAACTCCTCAAATCCTGCTTACAAGGCATTATAGACTATATATATCTTTTCTGAGTGTGGAGGGAGGGGAGAGAGAGTGGGTAAAGAAGATTTACCTCCTGTGAAGAAATAGTTCCTCTATGGAAATGCTTGGATTACAAGTCAGTAAATTTAAATTCAAATCCTAACTATTGCCATGTGATATTGGGCTGGAGTCACTTAACATCTTCATGCTCTCTACCTGTGAAATTAGAATAAAATTGGTCCTCTTGCCATTATCTGAGTGAAACACTTTGAAGTGAAATCTTTGGAGAAAAATTCTTTTTTAGCCCATATGATGATGATGATGCTTATAAGTAGCATACATACGAAGAGACCGATTTCCCTATAGAACCTATGCACCCTGGAAACAAGGTGTTCAATGTGATGTCATCATCATTCATCAGGTGGTGCCATCTTGAATATAGCCTATTGAATCTGTCTTAAACCACAGGATATTGAATCCATAGATTCATAGACATGGGAGGGTTCTTAAGAGACCATCAGGTCTAGTCACCTGCATTTGATCTTGGAGTTTTGGTTATAGAGGGTATTTTTCTATAAGTTTGGATTCTTCTTAATTTGACTGGTTGGTTTGATAATTTGTGTGTGTGTGTGTGTGTGTGTGTGTGTGTGTGTGTGTGTGTGTTTTCTTTTCCCTCATAAGGGAAGACTGGAACAGTTCTAGTTTTGTCCACACCAAACCGAGAGTTCATCATTTTCCTGAGGACTACAAGATGGCAGCTACTTCAATATCACCCTGGGTCTTTCAGGAGTCAGTTACCTTCAGAGAAGAATCAGGTAGCAATGTAGTGACTTATGATGGACAAGTGACTCATCTGAATCCTGTGACCCTTGGCCCAATGAGGAAAGAGCAGGACTTTAACTGCCAACTTGAACCAGAAAGAAAGTATACAGCAAATGATTGGTCCTCCAGATTACCAGGCTTTATTCCCTCAGGAGGCTATCATCAGTTCTTGAACCCTCTGAGAAGTGGAGGGAAAGGTCCCTGGAGGGAAAGGTCACCTCAGCCTCTTGACTCTTCTGCCAGTTTTCAGAGATGGCCGTTGGCAGGGGTAAAGAGATCTTTCCCTGACTCTCGGCTAGAGCAACTGAGGGAGAGGATCCGGGCACAGAAGCATCGATATCTTAATATTTTCCCTGCCTCCTTCCAAGATTGTTCTGGGGTCTCACAAGCTGTGCCCTGGAAGTACAAGCCAAAGAGAAATGTCTACAAAATGAAGTTAGCTGCTTCACACCCTGCACACCCAGGCCAAGTCTCAGCTTCCAGCCCCAATCCCAGTGATACTCACCATTCAGTTTCCCATACATTTACACCAAAGAGAAAAGGCCACAGAGTAAGATTTGCACTGTCAACTCCAGAAAATCCATGTAAGTAATGCTGCCTGCTGTAAGTGAGGAACTATGGTGGACAGACTGAGAAAAGGTGCTGGTGGTAGGAGGGCAGGGTTAGGTGTGAGAGCCAGGAAAGAGAGTGAAGAATGAGGTCATGTGGTAGAGTACAGAGAGTACTTCCTCAGAGGATCTGGTTTCAAATTCTGCCTTTGGACACTATCTGTGCAACCTTGGAACAAGTCACCTAAATTTCCTGCTTTTCTCATGTGTAACATGAGAGTATTGGTCTAAATGGCCTCTGAGGTCCCTTTCAGCTTTAGATTTATTATCCTGATGAGGAAGGGAGCAGAAGGCAGTTTGGTAGAGAGTCCTTCAGAGATAATGTCAACATTTACTCATTCACTCAAAAAATCTTTACTAAGGGCTTGGCACCCAGGAGGATAGAAAGATGTATCATTATCCTCAGGGAATTTCGAGAGTGAATACTAGGATCAGATAATTCAAATCCTAATTCCAGAGGGTATATAATTAGATACCAAATGAGTGGCATAGTCATCAAGTCCCTAAGAGCTCAGAAGAAAGAAAGAACATGCAATGGAAGACTGCATGGGGAAAAGAGGGATTTGAGGGATATGGCCCCAGGTGCATTAGTAGTCAGGTCCTGGTGAGGGGATATGTGGGCATCTTGGTGGCAACTTGGAATAGACCCCACGTGGTTCCTCATATGGATCCTGAGATTTCCTAAATGCATCTGACGCTAACCCTAACCCTAAATGCCCAGAAAAGAATCTTTTTTCAGGGATGGAGGGGGGAGGAAAGAGAGATCAAGATTTTGTTGTTGTTTTGTTTTTAAGGTTGAAATCAGGAGGGCATTTCAGAAGAGAGGCGAGAAGGAAGGTGATAGATTTGGAGACAGAAGGAGGAATTTCTCACATTTTCTGCTGACCCCAGCCTCTTCCTAATGATAATTCCCCTAATAAGGAAGGTGCCAGATAAAATTTAAAGGTCAATTACTGCTCTGATGTGGTTGCTCTATACAAACAAGTTGACCAGTGGCATCAGGAGGAGAAACAGGGGAAACCATGACTTAGGCAAGGTTGGGTCATGATGAGCAGTGTAAGATGTCACTATTTCACGGAGAGTGAGTGCAGTGTGGAATCTACCCAAGGGTGGCTGCCTCACTTGGACTTTTCTGACCAATAGTTATGCATATGATACTTCAGAGGAGTTACAAAAAATAGTTCTCACATAGGGTAGTTTTTCTATGTTGTTCAGTCATTTCAGTTGTATGCAACTCTTCATGACTCCATTTGGGGTTTTTTTTGCAAAGATATTGAAACAGTTTTCAATTTCCTTCTCCAGATCACTTTATAGATGAGGAAACTGAGGCAAACAGGCATAAATGACTTGCCCAGGGTCATACAGCTAGTGAGTGTCTGAGTCCAGATTTGAACTCAAGGAAAAGAGTCTTCCTAGTTCCAAGCCCAATGTTCTATCTACTGTACCATCTAGCTGCCTTACCTTCCCAACATCCTTACCAACAAACACACCTCAATTAGCGTTATATCCCATGACATCTCATCTAATTCTGATTCTTTTATACAGAATTTCTCAAGGAAAAATGAGTACTTGCAGTAAGGTACAATCAGCTCTGAATTATTTGTCCTTTTCGTACTTATCCTCAAATGTGCTTTCAGGCCATGTCCCCAGAAAACCCTGAATTGGCCTTACATTAGTATTAAACCATTAATTGTATGTTAATAGTATAGTTGTTCTATGTAATTATATGTTATAGATACATTAGTGTCCTTTAAGCCAAAATCTCTTTCATCTGGCATATAGTGGGCACTCAATGGATATTTGCTGATTGATGCACATTGAAAACATTGCTTTATGAAACCAAGAGCACAAATCTTTTTTGGCCTTTGGCCTTTCTCTTCCTCCTTCTGTCCCTCTTTCTTTATCACTGGTGCTTTCTCCATCTAATCTTGGCCTAATTCTTCTGATTCCAAAGCCAATGTTATTTCCACTGTAACTTTTTTGTTGTTGTTGTTGGCCTAATCCGCACAATTAGTTTTCCCATAGATCTGCACGTATTGAGTGGTGTGTGTGTGTGTGTGTGTGTGTGTGTGTGTGTGACCAGAAACTAGGCACCTTGGTGGAAGAATACCATTAATTTGAATAATGTCTTGCAAATAGTTATTAATAAAAATGTCTTGGTTTCTGTGTGACTCTTTGAGGAGCCCAAGACTGACAAAAACATCTCTGTATTTTCTCCCCCCATTGGATCTAGTGTGAAAGTAGACAGGTCAACCTCAAGCTGATCTGTCAGGGCTGACTCCTGTTTGATTGATAAAGATGATGGCAGGAGCTTTTCCCTTTTGCAGCCATCTCTAATTTAATGTCCCTATGGTCATTAGCAGCATTCTGAAATGGCTCAAGTGTGCTTACCCCCCACCCCCTACCCTGACTCTGGCAGTTGGCTCAGTATTAAATGCTGTTGGCCATTGCTAATGGCTCTGCTGAAGATCCCAGTGACATCTGACCAATTTATAAGCCATTTTTCCCCCTACCTGTAGGGATTGCTGAATATCCATTAGCGTAACACTGCCAGCAATTATTGTTCATTCTGTGATCTCAATCTATAAGTCCCATCATTTACAGGCTGGTGTCATTTATATTTTCTAAAGTGTCTGCATTTTAATCTCCCTACTTATCCTGGCTCTGGGAGTGAGGTGCTTTGTCTAGCTTGGTTCAGAGAGGAAGGAGAAGCCCTTTTAAGAAATTTGTAAGGAATCTTTCCCCACCATTCCAGTGTTTTGGTCAGAGAGAGTCCAAGAGCACTCCTGTATAAGGAAGAGCTGACTTTTGTAGCATTTTGTGGGAACTGAGGAATCATGCAGTCAGATACTCTTTACTAGGTTACTGGCACTATAATTTAAAAGAGGGTTTCAGGCGTGGGAAAAAGGAGGTCTTCTGGTATTGTTGTATTAAGCAGCCATAACTATCCCCCCTAACTCTGGCCACAGGCTGATCCTCTAAAGAGGCAGTGTCATGCAGTAGAAAGACTACGACCAGGCTCTTTCACTAATGGATATATGACCTTGGGCAAGTCATTGATGATCTCTGGGTATATTTCTTTCCTAGTAAAAATAAGGGGATTGATTGTATTAGGTGATCTCTCAGGTTTTTTCCTAGCCTTAATGATCTATGATTCTAGCCCTGACTGCAGACTCTTCTGTCAGTCCTGGTGAGCTATTCAACTGTTGGTCTCAAGCAATAATCATTTATTAAGTGCCTACTGTGTATCAGGTACTGTGGTAGGCAGCCGGGATAGAAATTCAAAAATAGTATAGGCCCTGCCTTCAAAGTGTGTGTGTGTGTGTGTGTGTGTGTGTGTGTGTGTGTGTGTGTGTGTATAAAAGACATATGAAAATCAAATACAAGGTAACCTTGGAGGGGATATCAGTAGCAACTGGAAAAACCAGCACAGCTTCACACACTGCCCTCCACCCTTCCCACTGGAGGTTGTGTTTGAGCTGAGTTTTGAAGTAATATGAGGATTCCAGGAGGCAGAGCAGGTGAGGAGAGCATTCTAGGCATGACCATGGTAAAGGTAAAGAGATGAGAAATGGAACTATGCTCAAGGACCTGGCTGGCTCAGCACAGAGGAAATATGGGCCCTAAAACTCTGTCCTGCTGAACTGATAGTGTTGTCTATATAGATGAGGAAGGGAAGGCAAGGGAAGGGAATAAGCATTCATTAAGTACCTACTATATATGTCAGGTAGTGTGTTTAGCATTTTACAAATATTATCTTATTAATCCTCACAATAACCCTGAGAGGTAAGTGCCATTATGATCCTCATTTTACAGATGAGGAAACTGAGGCAAACAGGGTTAAGTAACTTTCCCAGTGTTACACAGCTAGTAAGTGCCTGAGGCAGGATTTGAACTCAGCCTTTCCTAATCCAGGCCAATGCTGTATCTACTGTGCCACCTGCTTTCTTTTTAAGGGCTCCATAAATACTTTTTTAATTGTGATACAGGTTATAAGGGTCTTATTGAGTTCCTCTCATAAGTCACTTTCTAGTTCCATGGTTCTTTCTTCACTACTAAGGTCCTTGAGAGTGAATAGATAAAGGAAAGTCTAATGGAAGGGATATCTTTGCCTCCAATGTTTTTGTATTTACCTTTATGGTGTCTGGTCATTTCTGAGTTGCCACTCTACTAATTTCCAAATGGGTCAAACTAGGTGGTGCAGTGGATAGATAGAGTGCTGGGCCTGGAGTCAGGAAGACTCATCTTCCTGAATTCAAATCTGGCCTCATTTGTAAAATGGGCTGGAGAAAGAAATGGCAAACCATTACAGCATCTTTGCCAAGAAAATTCCAGATGGAGTCATGAAGAGTCCAGCACAACTGAAACGACTAAACAACAATTTCCAAATTAAATATATACATAGCCAGTGTTAGTTATATGTATAAGTGGAAAAAAGCAATAGCCCAGATAATAAAACTATTTTGGGGTCATTTCCCAAATCATTTATGTATTTAACTTAATTATATATTTAACAGTATGACTAGGAATTAAATTTGGCTTTCAGTTATGTTGACCTTAGGTTAATGCAAAAATGAGTTTTGAGGTATCTGAAAGAAGACAGCATAGAAATGTGCCAGAGGATACAGGGAGGCTTGCATAGGAATGAACATTTGCCCTAGAATTCAGGGGTTTTTAACTTGGGTCTATGAACTTGTTTTTAAAAAATTGAATAACCATATTTCAATATAATTGGTTTCTTTTGTAATCTTACACATTTTATCTTATGAATTTAAAAACATTGAGGTTCATAAGCTTTACCAGACTGCCAAGAAGGTCCAAGCCTTACACACAAAAAGGTTAACCCCTACTTTAGATAATCATACATAGATAATGGAGATTGGGTTTTGTTTTTGTTTTTAGAGCTTAGAAATAGTTTTAAAAGTGGTTACTGCATGGTGTCTCTTCTAGATTGTATCCTGTGTGATTTATTAATTACAGTGATAGTTCAACTTTTGATAGCAGTTTAGGTTTTACAAAGTTCTTTTCTCACAACAACCCTGTGAGGTATGTAGCATACTTTATTATGCCCATTTTACAGATGAGAAAACAACCTCTGGGTAAATGACTTACTCAAGATCACGTAACTAGTGAGTTAAGGTCAAGGGATCATACCTAGGTGTCCTGACTCTAAAATAAAGGAGCTCTTTCTATTATTACATCATGTGATCCCATTCCTACGCTCCTTTGACTCAATAACTAATTTTTTGGTGATACTTGTTTAACTTTAGGCTTGTAAATGAAACAGGTACCTCAGTAGTTCTTTTAGTCAATTATTGTCAGTTATTGCTTTCTATGTCACATCTCTCCTCTCTCCTTTCTCTGTCTCCCTCCTTTCTTCTTTCTTCCTGTCCTCTTTCTCTCCCCATTCTTTTCTCTATCTTTCTGTCTCTCTCCTCCCCTACCCCTAAACATCATCAAGGTCAAAGGGACAAAATTAGAGTGGCCCAAAACTGCCAGGGATCTGCACGGTCACCTTCCCCTAGAAGACTTCTGAAAGGCCATGGTAAGTTGTTTTTGTTGTCGTTGTTGTTATTTTTAAAGGGGCGGGGAAGGGGATAGAAATGAAGAGACTTCAGAGCCAAATAAAAGCTTTAAGGAAAAACAAACAAAACCACTTGGTTAATGCTCTAGAGAAAAGGGTTTGACTGGAATAATGAGGAAATGGTGGGGGTATTTAGAGCTGAATGCAGCTCTATGGATTCTCTTTGTGACCTTTAGAAAGTCCCTGACCTGGGCCAAGTAGGATAGATGAGCTTATTCAATTAGGAGTCAGTAAACACTCTGGCAGTATTAATAATACTCCAGAGTTCTGCAAGGATATCATCTTTGGGAAGCTAGGCATAGTGACTTTTTGCTAACTCATCCCCTTTGGATGGGTTAAAGGGCTGATCCCACCTTATAGTGAATTTTATGCTGGAATAAATGATACTGTTGATACACGAGAACTCTGGGTACACATTTCAGTGTACCTGATGCATTTTCTGCTAAATACTCTGGATCTGTAGTCCAAATTTACTTTTCAAAGTTGTTGACTAGTTAGTTACCCTATCTGTAGCATCCATTCCTGTTCATAGGGCAGAGCAACATCAGTTTGGTTTAAAAAGTGAAAATAATGTTTTGCCATATATTCATATGAACAGTGCTGGTGTTTCTAGGTGAGAAGGGAAAGCTTATGTGGTGGGGGAGGTGGGGGGAGGGTGGCAGGTTGTTATTAGACTAGACATGTTTATGAATCACCAAAGGAATGCTGAACAAGAGTGGGGGAGAAATCCTACAGAGCTTATTCAGTACTTTGAATGTGAAGTTAGGGATGCTGTGAGCATAATGTGCTAGGTGCAAAAAAGGTTATTTAAAACGCTTAAAATATAAAATAATTTTCTTCCTTCATCACGCCCTCCCCCTTTTTGTTTTAATGGATTGCTTGAAAAATGACCTGCTCTCTCCCTGACACTGGGTCACAAGACCATGCCATGTGGCACATTCATCATTGTAGCCGCCAGTGTCACCGAGTCTGTGTTGACCATTAGTTCCTGTCAGTGACGAAGTCAAAGCGGGGCTCAAAAGAGATGAATTGGGGGTCAGGGGTCAGAGTCACAGGACCTTGGAATTGGATGAATTATGAATTTGCTGTAGTTAACAAAAAATTAAATCACAATAGTTATAAAATATTCATCTGTCGAGGCAGCAGGGAAAATGGAGCCGAATGTTTAATTTCAGATGATAGCACCTTGCTTTGCATTTTTTATCAGATATTAAGTTGGTGCCAAGACTTTGATCCCATATTTGGGGATTTAATTCATTTTCACAGACTAAAAATTGTTTCTTAAAAATTAATTAAGATTAGACTGCTTGGGGGGTGGGGAGAGTTAGGGTGAGAGATGTGTCCAGAAGGACTCATTAATTTGCTTGCTACTCCCTGGGCAATCTTATTGTCAAGCTAAACATCTGGATGAGTTAAAATTTGAGTTGGGGGTGCTCAACATAAGGGTGGATGGGAGTGGGCATCCCAGAAACTGAGACTAATGCCAATAGGAAACATCAGATGATGTTAAGCAGCTTCCATCATTCCTAGCCAGATGGGTTTCCATGAGTGATCTTAATGATCCCTGGGAATTAAAGATTAGGTCAGAGGTGGGGCTATTGGAGCTTGGACGTAATGGATCCAAATGAAGTGAAAGGAATGTGAGGATTAATAGAAACCTTATATTCAGGATAATTTACATCTCAAAAGAACAAGGAAAGCATTCCTGTGTCATGGAAAAAGCAAAGGACCTGGAAATAGAAACCTGGGTTCTGGTTCCAGCTCTGTCTCTTACTATCTGTGCGATGTTGGGCAAGTCATTTTACTTTTCAGGCCTTTTGTTTCTTCATTGATAAAATGGAATATGATCTAAATGGGACAGGTGGCACAGCAGGTGGAGTATGGGGGCCTGGAGTCAGAAAGACTTATCTTCTTGTGTTTAAATCTGGCCTTAAACACTTACAGAGTTGTGTGACTGTGGGTAAGGCACTTAATCCTGTTTGCCTCAGTTTCCTCATCTATAAAATGAGGTGGAGAAGGAAATGGCAAACCGCTCCTATTTTCTTTGCCAAGAAAACCCAAGAGTCGGACACAACTGAAACAAATGAACAACAACAACAAATTATCTAAATGACTTTTATGGTCCCTTCTAACTCTGACATTCTGTGATTCTGCTCTTAGGTTCCATTCAGATAATTATGATGCTTGCACAACTGTCTCTGAATCTCGTTAGCTCAGTTGAACGGAGAATTGTACTAATAGAGATGATGATGATAGCAATGATGACAGTAATAACAACAGTCTTTTTTTTCATGAGGCAGTATGTGTCCCAAGCACAAAGTGAGGCCTTGAGCTGTGGTTCAGGATGATCATATCAACAGCTTCCATCATAGACTGATTATTCCTTGGCCCTGGCCACAGACTAACTCCATCCCCTAGTCCCAGCTACACAATGACTTGCTCATTCACACCAGCCCTTTCATGTCATTTTTGCATCCCTATTGACTTGCACATAATAGGTGGCTTTAAACTCTTTGAATTGAATTGATCACCGAGGGGACTAGGAGAAATGGGAAAACCATCTCTATTACTAGAGGTACAACTCAAAGTGTATGTTAGCAGTCATGACAGATAAAGGTTAACACCCTCATCTGTGATCTATACTTAGGACAATACTTCCCCTAGAGTCCAGTGGCCTGGCATCATGGACACTGACCTTGCTTGTGTTGAGGTAATCCCTATTCCAGAACTTCCAGGGGAGATCCAGTGAGTAAGAGAATAGTGGCAGATCTGGCACTGGGGCAGGCATCTATGCCAGTGAAAGCCAACAGTTTATTGCAAAGGCCAGCATTAGCTGAGGGTAGCAGAAACGTGACTTTATCAACTTGATGCCAGTCTGTCAAAGGATTTGGAGATAGGAGAGGCCGGGGATCCTGTGAATTATTTGCACCCTTTATAGCCAATCCTGCAATCTGAGCTAGTCAACAAAACCTTATTGGAGAGAGAGAGAGAGAGAGAGAGAGAGAGAGAGAGAGAGAGAGAGAG